GGCCGACGCGCTGTCCGACGCCCGCCTTGCACTGCACCAGCACCGGCGTCGTCGTCCCGGCACCGGGCAGCAGCGTCCACGTCCCGAGCAGGTCGGTGCCGCGGTCGCGCGCGCCGCCCACGCGCCGCAGGGAGAAGCCGTGCCGCGTGAGGGCAGCCGCCACGGTGTATTCGTACAGCGTCCCCACATAGACGGTCGAGGTCGGGTCGAGCTTGGTGCGCGCCGCGTAGGACTGGAAGGAAGCGAGGTCGTGGTGGCGTCGAGAGGACGGCGCCGGGTAGATGAGCGCTGCTGGTGCTGAAGAGGTGTTGTCGGATGCGCGCCGCGCGCTGGTCGTGAGGGAGCGGCGCTTCCCCGTGGCGATCGCCAGGAATTGACGCCGTGCGGAGGGGCTGCGTAGACAATACATGGCGTAGTCTGTTTGCAAATGTTGTGGTCGTGGTCGTTTGTTCAACACATCGCGATTTAAAAATCTGTCCGCTAGCTAGGGGGAAGGCGAAGGAAGCTCCAGAAAAATTGTAATTTGTGCAAGGCTGCCACCAACAGCCTCGTCCGATATTCATCAAACCGAGCTCAGGCGTCATAGCGGGGGTTGTAGTGGTTGTAGTGTTCCAGCCGCTCCAGGCACCAAAAGTCAACCCCGCCAAATCTTTCTTCTTCTTCAGCGCGATCGCGTCCTCTTTTTTTTCTTTTTTTTTCTTCCCTCTCCAGAGACCACTCCAGAAAACACATTACCATCATGGGCTCCGTCGTCATCCCCCATCTCAGCTCCGGCTGGCACGTCGACCAGGCCATTCTCAGCGAGGACGAGCGGCTCGTCGTCATCCGCTTCGGCCGCGACTGGGACTCGGACTGCATGCGGCAAGACGAGGTTCTCTACAAAATCGCCGAAAAGGTCAAGAGCTTTGCCGTCGTCTACGTCTGCGACATTGACCAAGTACCCGATTTCAACCAAATGTACGGTACGTTTTGTTGTGTCTCCCCCTTTCCTACTCCTCGCTGCCCGCCTCCTAACTCGATCAAATCAGAACTCTACGACCCTTGCACAATCATGTTCTTCTTTCGCAACAAGCACATGATGGTCGACTTTGGTACCGGCAATAACAACAAGCTCAACTGGGTCCTCGAGGATAAGCAGGAACTCATCGACATCATCGAGACGGTGTACCGCGGCGCGAAAAAAGGACGCGGCTTGGTCGTCAGCCCCAAGGACTACTCGACGCGCCACCGGTACTGAAAAGGAAGGGAAACAAAAGACGGGCGCCATGCGTCAGTCGTCACGCCTCGATCGCTATATATATATATTCAATACCCCAAGGCGTTGACGCGGAAGAAAGGCATGATTGCATTTCCATGGTTTGGGCGGCGTTTTCTAGTAGCTATCAATTACAGCATCACTTTTTGGTTAGAAAGCAGCCTACAACAGCTAGGCTCACTTCAGCACTCATGACATGATATCTATGTCATTATTCCACTGCTAAGAAAATCTCACAAACTAACATTGTATCTCGGCCTCCTTGCAAACGCCTCGTTTGTACGCCATTGTCGCACTATGCATGCAGTACATGTCTTTAAGCCCTGAAATGGCAAATGCGCGTGTATCAAGTATCCAACACGTAGACCCAAAATCCTGCATAAATCAGTAATTATGTAGATAATAACATCTGCCTCTTCCCCCACTACAGCACATCTTGCTGCCCGCCCCCAAACATGTTGGGGCTCGTCGCGGGCAGCTTCGGTACCGGCAGCGGTGGCGTCTTTTCGCGCACGCGATGTTCATCACGCGACCGGCTCGTCAATCTCCGCAAGTTCGTTGAGCGGGCGGCGGTGGCGATCCCGGTCCCGGTCTGCCGGTTCACCATGTTCTCCAGAAAAAAGACGCTGCCAATGTTGGCGGTGGTATTGGGCCGCTCGTCGTCGGCGTCAGAGAACCCCGCCGACAGGTACTCCTCGTCCGACGTCATGTCGCCCGCCATCTGCGGGTAGTACGACGCGGGCGCTGATGGCGACGTGATGGAGCGCGCATGGAGACCGGGTCGGGGCGACGTCACTATGTTAAAGGCGCCGGGGTTCATCGCGTTGGCGCTTGCCTCCCGCGACATGGCCGGCGGTCTGTCGGCGAAGCCATTCTGGAAGGACGTGTTGCTGGATGCTTGATGCAGAATGGGCAGAATTTGCTCGTCGTATAATTGCGTCTCTGAATCAAACGCATCCGGCTCGTACTCCGTCACCGTTCGCGACGACCGGCCGTCGTCGTCTGTGTGGGGGCTTGAGGGCTCGTCGAAAAAGTCGTCCAGGCTGTCCAGCTTGGTCACCAGATCCCCAACCAAAGTATCGGTCCGCCCATCATCCGAGAGCATGGTCCCTGTGCGTTCGTGTGCCTCAAAGTATCCATAGGCAAAATCATCGTTGTGGAATTCAACTTCGGCCGTCGGCGTGGCCTCAGTGGACGATCCGCCTGCGCTCTGGCACATGTAAAATGCAGCATGAATATTGGCGCGCGTGGCCTCTGTCTTCTTGGCAGGCACCGGGATCGCCCACCCTGATGCTTCTGGGATACCAAATAGACTCTGCGTTCGTTCATACTCTTTGCGGATAACCTTGGAAGTGGCGCGCGTCATGCTCATGCGCAAGTGGTGCTTGTCCATGTGACTACCGGAGACGGTCATTATGTTATCCAGCACCCCGAGCGCATTCATACACAAGTCTGTCTGGAGCAGGCGGAGCAGAGGCGAAATAAGATCAGAGCCATGTCCCGTAAGCTCAGGGTTTTTCATGTCAACCTCTGGAATAGCGATGCAGAGGATACGCATTGTATGCACTTTGATCCAGTTGATCGAATTCGTGAGCAGCCCGAGCAAGAAGGTAATCATCTTGAAATCAAGTCGTGGGAGATAGTATTCTCTCAGCGCTCCGAATAGTAGTGTCAAAAGGTCGTTGCCGCTGTTAATTTCGCCATTTATATAATCGTCCATGACCACGCTAATACCTTCTAGACCCTGACGGTCTGCCTCGGCAAACAAAACGCGCGCTGATCGCAGGCTGTCATCCGAAGGCAGGCTTCGTTGCTCCAAATCGTTGAGGAACCGTGGAAAGTTGGCCAGCAACGCGAAAAAGAGACGTTGGTCGTCGCCAATCAGAGGGTCATTGGGAAGCTTGACGAGCTGCTCCATAATATCCAACGTTGGCTGCCAGCATACCGCCGAGCGGAGGCCTTTGTGCAGCAAAGGCTGCAGACCGTCAAACGCTCCCTCCCAGCGCGAGGGTTGGCCATCCGCAATCAGCCGTCGAATGTTGGCAGATCGCAAGTCAACCTTGCCTACTAGCTCGCTAAGCATGTCCACGGCTTCCCTAAACTCTCGCTCGTTGATGGATTCGAGACAAGCACAGGTGGTCCAAAAGAGCTGCGGGAACGTTAGAAGCTTGTCGGACTCGAGCTTGACAATCAATGTCTTGAGAGTTGTCAAGATCTCCATAGAAAAGGACTGTATCTCTGGGTCTTCGTCGGCAATTGTATTCGAAAGTCGGGCCAACATATCGCCCAGCATGTACTGATCCAACGATGTCAGAACACAGCGAAAGATTTGAAACGAGCGACAGGCCAAATGGCGGACGGGGCACGACGTGGCCCAGGTAAGCGAGAGCCTTCCCCATTGCTCTTTGATGCCGGGATACGCAGGCTCAAACGTTTGCAGCACTTCAGCGGTGAGGTATTCCATGCTGGGAGGTACCTTGTTGTCTTGCTCATCAACCTTGCCATTGCTGTCTTCGTAGCTCCAAACGACTGCGCGGTCGTGGCCGCGGACCAAGTCGATGAGTTCCTCAATGGCCTCCTTTCTCGTGTCGTGGAGGTTCTCGTCCATGCGCGAGAGCACCAGCTCGTGTATCAGGTGCACCAGCATCTCCCGGGCCTGCTCTTGAACCAACGGGGTATAATGATCCCACAGAACCGTCACCACATGTAAAAGCGAGGGGATATTCTCTGGTGGCAGGTTCACAGGGGCAACCATCAAATCAACAAGCAAGATCAGAGACAGCTGTCCGAGTGAGAATCCTGCTTGCTTCGTTCCAACTGGCAAAGCTTCGTTAAGATCGGCACAGTACGGAAGGGCGCTCACATCCGGCTGAGGCGGTATCGAGTTTCGCTTTTCGTTAGGCACCATGGCCTTGGGGGTGATCTGCATCAGCAAAAACTCAACGACTTTGATTCCAGGTGTGCCACTCGTGGTGGATAGGAACACAACAATCTGCTTCGCATATTCCACAAAATTTTGCTCTCGTCGCTCAAGACACAACTGCATGATAAAGTCCAATACCAACCGCACGTTACCGGGATGCGGACCTGTCGCCAAGGCCTGCCACAGTGCCTGTACTTCATGGTGGAGGGCGCCACCTGATTTGATAGTAATCTCAAGAAGGTTGGCGAGTAGGACGTATGATTGAGCTGTGGGTCCGCCATTGGGGTCAATCTTCAACTCAATCGCTTGAATCCAGGGCAGGATAACCGCAACGACATTCCGTTGTGCATGCGGCTGGAGGTCTTTGAAGTACAGAGTAAACTCGGACACAATGTGAAAGGCCAGCTCAGTATACGACATGGCGAGTCGCTTCGAAATCTCAAACTGCGCCAACTTGTACACCACCTGCGTCTTGTCCGCAATGCTAATGTCAAAATCGCGAATTTTGGAGTTGCGCTGCTGTCTAATCTCAAGTGAGCGGAGAGCAGCGGCAGACTTTGATCGGACCTCGCTCTGCTCATTTCCAAGAGTAAAGAGACAGAGAGCAAGCATCTTCCAAAACGGACAAGGGTACTCGGGGCATTCTTGGAGCACATCCATGGTCACCATGAAGTAGCTTTCAAGTACTTTGCGTGCGTCTGCAAGGTAGCAGCGCAAGATACAGCGATCCAAGAGATACGGATAGTCTCGGTTATGAATGACGAGGTTCTTCAGCGCCAGTCGGCCAGTGACATTCATACGGTCACTTCCAGAATTAAAGATGGCTTCGACCCATGCCAGCATACGGCGCACGTCAAACTGCAACGTGACACCACTTTCGGTCGTGAATGTGACGGCGCCTGCGCAAAGTGCCGCCATGGCGCTCAAGGCCGCATTTCGCAGGTTTCGTTTCTCAATCTCCATGGCTGCTGTCACCGTTCCTCGCTCTCCCAAAGATTGTTGGTCAATGATGGATTGTCTCATTGTATCCTCTCTGGCGCGAATCTGATTCTGATTCGGCGAGAACCCACACCAATCTTCCATCAGGGAAAAGGCAGACTTTCGCGACTCAAACGTCATCCAACGCGAGGGGTCCTTGGCGCGATTGATACCGTCGAATAAGCTTTCCATCAAACCGCAGTAATGTTGTCGCAGCTTCTGAAACTCCCAGTCCATCTGCACTTCACCGTCCATCAGGAAAAGCTTCAAATCCTTGGCATAAGCGGTCAATGTCGTCAAGAAGAATTCGTTGTCATATACACGTTCATCCCGTAAGAAGTGGGACGTCAGTTTGAAGACATGCGTGATTTCGGTTCGCAGTAAATCCATTTTTCGGTTTCGCCGAGGACTACTGTTTGTCCGCTGGTGAATTCTGGCTCTAGCCTCATCGTTGCATCGAGCTACCTGGCCTTGCAGCTCCTCCAACAAAGATCTGTAGATGTGGATGTTGATTGAGCCCATGGAGACTACAACAGCATCGCGAACTGATGTAGATGACACTGAAAGTAGGGGTATCAGATATTTGAACAACGTTCTAGCCGTTACAATTTTGTCTGTAGAGGTATGCCGTGAGCCTTTGCGGGTATGTTGTCGGTCTTTCGGATTGGCTGGCGATGGCAGCGCTCCAGGGTCAGCCATCGTCGTGCAGGCAAAAATCAAGTATAGCTTCCATTGCTCGATCATGACCTCAGGGTGTGCAGCCGCAGATTTGTTACCTATACGCTGATTCCCGGACTCCCCGGCATACACGAGGCCGCGAGAAGGTTCCGAAAGATAAACGATAGGCTTGTACATTTGGATAATGCGATTGCAAATCAAATCGCGACAAATTGTGACGGCAAACGGACATCTCTCGAAGAAAATGCGTATCAGATTCGGTACAATCTTGAACCAAAGCGTTGCATCATACGATATGTCGCTGGTGCAGAGCTCGACCACAGCTCCTTTGCTGTTAGCATTTTGCAGACCGCGCTGTAGACGACTTCGCTCTGCAACGGAGAGGCTTTCTTCATTGAAGTTCATGACTTGAATAGAGTCATTTTCGAGGATATCAATGAGCCTGAGAGTGTCCTTCTCACCAGAGGTGTCCTTGCCAAGAGCCTTGTCGAATTCAGTAATGAGCCTCAGTACGGTGATAGCGAAGTGGCGCACACGGCGGGATTGAGAGCAGAGAAAAAAGAGCCCATGGGCTTCCGCTTGATCAACCTCGCCCCAGACCTGAGACAGATCCAGTTTTAGGGCTCTCTGGTCAGTTCCTTTGCCGTCGGCATCTCTCATCTTTTGACGGATTTCTTCAATCCAGATCTGCATCAGCTCGACATAAAGGCGCAATGTATTCTCAATGTGTCCCGGTCCCAGCATTCCGCCATCTGACATGGTTGAGTACCGGTCATCAAAGTTGAAGATGAATCGTGCAAAGCCCATGGTCACTTGCTGAGCATGAGCGTGCTTGGCAATTGCTTTGAGGGAGTCGGCAGATGAATCCGCAATGTGGAACTGAACGTGGGCAGTACCGGTGCAGAGCAGGTTGATGAGAGTGTTGAGCTGTATACCGGTGGGCAGGCATCTTGGCAGTGCTTGCACGGCAACGTGTAGAAGCTCGTAGAATGCCTGCCGTTGATCTTGGGCATTCTGGCCGTCATCTTTGCGGGAAAACGTAAAGGACTCGGAAATCGGTGTCTTGGGTCCTGGACTATTGAATTTCTCATCCAAAGTAGCTTGTCCACCAAACGTATTGTCACATAGAATAGCGATTTTTCCCAAAACTTCACAAAACTTGAAGTAGTATTCACGTACCCCATCAGTCAGGACAGAAGTAAGCACGGGCCGCGAGACTGTATCCTTCTTCGGAGGGGCTGTCGGACTTGGAGGTGGTCTTGATTTCATGGACATTACAGGCGAGGTGGGAGATCTGTCAAGGGCGGGTATAGCTTCGAAGGCTTGCGGGAAGGGGGGACGGCCCTGTTCGCCTTTTTCGAGATCCGACATGATGCTGAGAAATGCGCGGATTCCAATCACAATTCTGTCAGGGTCCAGCTGTTCGACCTTGAGCTCTTTGTTTTGCACAAAATATTCCGCGTTGATGAGGGGAAATATGATGTTTTTGAAGCAAAATTCGGGGTATTTGAAGCCAATGATGCGAATCAACTGGATCAGGGGATCGGTGACGGCAGCATCAGCAGCGACTAGACTGCGTTTCGAGGAAGGCATGACAAGTCTGATGACATCGTCTAGCTTCCTCGAGGCACTAGTCTGGCTGTCATTTGTGCGGTAAAGATAAGTCCAGACGAGCCGAGAAACAACCTGCAGGCACAGAGGCTTTGTGAATCTATCCTTGACTTTGGTTTGGAGCGGGATAATTTGCTGTAGCCACTGCGACGTAAAGACTTCCGGGGGAGAAACACAAACAATCGTAGCTGTGAGAGGAAATGCCACAGCCCAATGCCTCGGCTTTAAGTGCATTTGCTGAACGCGTTGACCGACGGCGGAAAGCACATCGGCCCATTTGGCTTGCATCAGATGACTGTTGAGAGCCTTGGCTGCGACGGGACGCAACAGCATATCGAGCACATGGCAGAAGGCGGACTTAACTCTTTGGCCATGGGATTTGCTGAAAAGGCGACCCAATTTTATGAGAAAATCGCAGGATTGCTCCCACGACTCCTCGGGTGACACTTTAATGCGCAGGTGTTTCATGCCGTTGAGCACAAGTTCGATCTTGCCCTCTACATCACGACCAGAAGCCGATGTGGGACTCTTGATAGTTCGTTCCTGAAGACAGTTACTTAGGTCGTCGATGAATCGGCGACTGATTCCCACAAAGTTGATCTCGCTCATGTAGCCAAGCAGCTGGGCAAAAAGATTCCAGTTGGCCATTTTCAAGGGAGAGAGGGCCAGTTGTTCAGTATCGGCGATTTTGAGCTGGCCAAAGATGATACTCTCTAGCTTATCTTCCATCTCTGGCGTGATTGATGCAAGGCTACTTTGGCAGATGACCTCGACAAGGACGCGGCAGAGAATATAGATGGAGACGGTAGAGCGGCGTTCCTGTTGGGCAACATATTCCTGCTTTGCAGCCAGGGACACGCCTGTCGGAAACGCATCGGCGGGGTTGATGCCGGCGGGTTCTGTGTTCCGTCGCATCAAGGGTGTGCCAGGGGGGTTATTGCGCAGTTGCTGGAGCTGACTGCGGGCGTCGTTGGCTGCATCACTCTTGCTTTTGCGCCAGAGCATCATGGAATCGATCAAAGCTTTCGGTTTAGGACTGGCAATGTGGCCGAGTGCGACGATGAGCTGGTCAAAGCCAAGATCAACGCCGGGACCGCATATTTGGTCGACGCTCGGTTCAGGGTCGAAGGGCACAGTGATGCATTCGTTGAGCTTTTCTTCCGCCTGTGCGATGAAGGAGGTGAAAAGAACATGGAGGGCGTATTCTCCGACGGTTTTCTGGTCGTCACGGTGTCTAGAAGAATGCGAGTGGTGGGTCGGGTGGTCGCGTCGCGATTTGCCATGGTCGATTTTGCGCTGGGTTGCGCCAAAGCTAGGTACGTCGGTCGCCGAAGCCGACTTTTCCATGGCAGCGGGCGATGCGCTTCCCGGAGTGGCCGAGGGCAATGCGGCGGCGGCAACGTCCATCCTCGCAGCGACCGAGTCCATGTCGAGTCCGACGCCGGCGGCGGCAATCATCTGTGGACTCAAGGGGCTGGAGGCGGAGCTGGCGATGCTCCCATTTCTCGAGTGCTGTATGCCGTGCACGATGGAGGTCTGGCGGTGGTGTCCGTAGGCGGCGACGCGCGTGGCATCAATGTTTTGTCGGGCAGAGGCGCCAGTGGCGGATCGCGGCGAGGTCAGCGGCGGTGGGAGACGGGGGACCTTTTCGGCGGACGACTCGCGCGAGTGGGCGATGGTCGGCGGGGACAGCACGGGCTCGGGAGACACTAGACGGATGGTATGCTCCCAGGAACGGTCATCGTCTTCCAAGCGCGAGACTGATCGCGAGGCGGCGGGATACTTGGGTGGCGGTAGCGGCGGCGGCTGGGGGGAATCGAGGGGTGGTTGCGACGGAGCTGTGGTGATGAGAGCCAGATGTCAGCAAGGAGTAGGTAGAGTAAGAAAGGGCCAGAGCGCTGGTATTTTTTTTTCAAGCATGTAGAAGCAAAAAAAGATGGACGGTGCGCGAGGATTGGGCCCATGTCAAGCGTATCGCGTTACGGTGCGGTGCATAGACGGATGGTCTTCACCCGATAGGCACATGTAGCAGTTTCGAACATATGGCCAAGGGAGAGACGAGGAACCATCAAGATGATGAGGTCGGACGTGCGCGGGAATGTTGAAACTCACCCATTGCGTGTTCCAATCAGGGGCGTCACCCCGTCATTAGCTTCCAGTCATGCGTGGCGGGCGCTCAGCGACGAATGTCGAGGCGGGATGGAGAGGGGCAGCGCGGGAACGTTTCGAAACTGAAGACGTCTTGGCCAATGCTATGGTGGGATATGGCGGGATGATGGGACAAAGGTTCAAAGCACACGCGCTCATCAGCGAGCTAGTGATGGATGGATGACGCTACCTTGGGCAAGCTGTCCGGGGCGAAGATAAAATGTGCCGCCGCCCTTGTTTCGCTAGTTAGTTGGGTCCCTCTTTGGCGGATCTTCTTGGGCGGATCTTCTTGGGCCTTCTTTCAGTTGTTGAGGGTGAGGGCAAGCAGCAAGAGTTCAGGAACAGGGTCCAAGCCAGGCGGGTCTGGGGCGGAGATGGAGATGTCTACAGGGTAGGTTGGTAGGGAGAGGCAGGTAGCTGCGAAGAAGGGAGGTTTGCTGTTTCGTTTTCTTGACAATCCATCGTTTTTATGCTTGTGGGTAGGTTCGCGGGATTTTCAATGTCTGTAATTATGCGCTTATTCATCTTGTGCTACCATTGTTGATGCCCGTGATCGATCGGACGTGGTACCACGGAGTCTTGGTAACTACCTACCTATGCGCACACGTATGTATGCAACACAAACAATCAATATTGTGGTACCAAAACTCGAGTACCCGTTTCCCAGTCCTTGTATGTACAACGTATTAGAAAAAGAAAAGAGTAGTCGAAATCCAAGTAAATATGACCAAGTAACTAGGAACCCATCCTCCCAGGGACAGGCAAGTCTCGTAACTACATACTCACCGTGTTACGGAATAATAATTTATTATAATTTATTATAATTTAATGTACAAATTAGGCGACGAGAATGCAAGGTCTGTGGCGTCGGCGGCGCGCTGTGAGGCTGACACCGCCACCGCTTCCCGCCATCGCATCGCTCTTGCTCAACGAAATGTGTACAATTGCAATACTTACCAAGTCGCGAGGAGGGAAATCTTTTCCAAGTCAATACTGCTTTCCTTCCCATAATACAAGACACATTCTCACACTACATATTTTCGTGACGATCTCATCATGGCCCGCATATGCATATTCGCCATTCACAAGCCCGCATTCAGAAGTCAATACACAATTACTGGCCCCAGCCGTGATACCACAGCCACTTCAGAGCAAATAGTAGCCAAGCTGCATACAGTGCTGAGAAACCGCCCCTTTCTCGTCGTACACGATGGGCCTGACACAAAGTGCCCCGTGGCGGCCGTGTCTCGCCTCCCCTCGTTTTCGACTTACTTTGAAATTTGCCTCGGCGACAGCGCCGCGAAAGACGTGGTCTGGGAGAAGCTCCATACGACGCACCCATGGGGCAGGAAGCACACCTGGGGAACCATGGTGCCGGGGGAGAATAGAGGCAGCCCCCGCCGTCTGCATTTGGTCTGGACGAGGACACGCAAGGTCATAGTCGACGGCATGGCACGCCGGCCGCTCAGCACGCGCAACTGGAAGCTCACAGAGGTGCCGCCGTCGGAGGATGAGGATGGGCGCCGGATCGGCAGCGGTACGAGCTGGACGACGCTGGTAGGAACCGAGCCCATTTTGGCCGTCTTCACCAGCAGCACGGAACTCGGCAAGTGCGGAAACCTGCAAGTCAACGTGGACCACGGCCGGGCCTTTGACCTGATGCTGCTGACGACATGCCTGTCGCTCTACTCGGCCGGACTATGCTGATGGAAGTTTTCCTTGCAACAAGGAACCATGGCTATGGGCCGGCAAAGAGAAGACGGGGATTTTTGTGGCCGACTTGTCGAAAAATCAGTACATCATAGGCTGGGTGGCTGGGCAACTGGGGTAGACATGGTATAACCCTGTACAAATTAACTATAATACAAATTACTCCGTACAGATTACAGATTGAGAAGCCTTTCTAGCGATCCTGGGTACGTACCCAAGTACCTAGCTTACCCTAGGTTTGTAGTTCCCTATGTATGTACCTACATAGTTACCTTAGTAGGTAGCTGCACTGCATCCCTGCATTGCTTAACCGAGAATGGAGTGCCAATCTCGGCAAAAGATTTCACAAGCCAGGTCCTTTTCCGGTGAATCTGTCGCCCCCAACAGTCTTCTGCGTCTCCTAACTACTTATTAGTCTGATGTCACGGCAGGCAAACCCATCAGAGCGCGATCGGTTGACGGAAATGGAGCGAGGCGGCCCAAAGTGGATTGTATATCTTGGTGTCTGTGTGGCCAACTATATTCCGACCGGAATCAACTTCGATCAACTCCAATGCCGCCACCACACCCATCCGGACGAATTAGTGCCCTGCCCGCCACACACCCGTTGCAACGTCAGTGTACATCTTTTCTAAGACTGCGCATTCCGCGACTTCTGACTGGAGGGTGACCCCTCACCAACCCTTACCCCGGTCCCTCGTTGGCGTTTTTTGGGCTGGCTTCTCTTTTGTCTGAGCTGAGTTGTCAAGGGCGCGCCGGCTCGGGGTCGTTGAGCTGGACCAAGCAGAGGCCAGCTATTAGGCATAAATAGAAGCCGCTGGTAGCCACACATTCTCCCTCGAGCTTCTGTTGTGCCATCATGATTGTATTGCTTCCTCCGTGTAGAATCAACATCTTCTTCTTGTTGTCTTGATCCAACATCTCCAACGTTTTATAAAACTACCGCTAGCTCATAGTCATGGCGTCCTACGAGGTCATTGGCATCGCCCTCGTCGCCGCCGCGTACCTTCTCTTCAAGCTGCTCAACGCGACCGACACGCCCAAGATCAAGGGCCTGCCCGAGATCCCCGGCGTGCCCATCTTTGGCAACCTCATCCAGCTTGGCACCGACCATGCGCGCGTGGCCAAGTCATGGGCCGCCAAATACGGTCCCGTCTTCCAAACCCGTCTAGGAAACCGAGTACGTCTTGGCTAGCCAGCTCTGGGAGAGTTGTCGCGAGATCCCCTCCTCCTCCCCCCTCTCCCCAAAGTTTTGGTCCTCCTCGCTAACCAAACAACCGTCCTGCCCCAGCGTGTCATCTTTGTCAACTCGTACGACTCAGTCCGGCACTTTTGGATCACGCACCAGTCGTCCCTCATCTCACGGCCAACCTTTCACACGTTCCACTCGGTCGTCTCCTCGTCCCAGGGCTTCACCATAGGCACCTCGCCGTGGGACGAGTCATGCAAGAAGCGCCGCAAGGCCGCCGCCACGGCCCTCAACCGGCCCGCCGTCCAGTCCTACATGCCCATCATCGACCTCGAGTCCATGGCGAGCATCCGCGAGCTGCTGCACGATTGCGACGCCGGCCGCCGCGACGTCGACCCCATTTCCTACATGGCCCGCTTCGCCCTCAACACCTCCCTCACCCTCAACTACGGCTTCCGCATCGAGGGCGCCGTCGACAGCGCCCTGCTCCAGGAGATTACCCATGTCGAGCGCATCATCTCCAACTTTCGCTCCACCAGCAACAACTGGCAGGACTACGTGCCGCTGCTGCGCCTCTGGAGCAAGCAGAATACCGAGGCCAGCGAGTTTCGCGCCCGGAGGGACAAGTACCTGACGGACATGTTGACGGATCTGCAGAAGCGCATCGAGGAGGGCACGGATAAGCCCTGTATTACGGGCAATATTCTCAAGGACCCCGACGCCAAGCTCAATATGGGTACGTTTTTGTTCATGCATCGTGTAAGTGCTCGTGCCGCATACTGATTTCAAGACAGCTGAGCTCAAGTCCATCTGCCTGACCATGGTCTCTGCTGGGCTTGACACTGTGCCTGGCACCCTAATCATGGGTCTGGCGTACCTTTCTACACCGGCTGGCCAAGCCGTCCAGGCCAAGGCCCTCGCCGCGATCCACGAGGCCTACCCCAACGGTGATGCCTGGGAAAAGTGTCTTGTAGAGGAAAAGGTCCCCTACGTCACTGCTCTCGTCAAGGAAACGCTGCGATTCTTCACCGTCATTCCCATCTGCCTCCCGCGCACCAACATTAAAGACATTCCCTACGAAAACACCGTCATCCCCGCCGGCACCACCTTCTTCATGGTACGTCAGCGCCCTTTCACATTCAACCGGTGGTTTAACCCCCCCCGCTGACATTGCTTCCCGCACAGAACGCCTACGCGGCTGACTACGACGACGACCGCTTCAAGCTGCCGGAGCAGTTCATCGTCGAGCGCTTCCTCGATGACCACGAGGTCGGCACGCCGCACTACGCGTACGGCGCCGGCTCGCGCATGTGCGCCGGCTCGCACCTTGCCAACCGCGAGCTCTTCACCGCCTACATCCGCATCATCACCGCCTTTGCGCTCTCCCAGGCCGACGACCCCGCCGACCGCCCGGTCATGCACTGCCTCGACTGCAACAACACTCCCACGTCGCTCACGCTCGACCCCAAGCCCTTCAAGATGAAGCTCCGGCCCAGGGACGCTGCCCAGCTGCAGCAGTGGATCGCCGGGGCCGAGGCGCGTACCAAGGATCTCTGATACAAAACAAGAGATGGGTAAAGTGGCCAATCAAACCCAGGAAACCCTGATCTGTGCGCCCGCCGCGCGATGGCGCGAGACATGTGCGGCTTCGGGTATTGCCGTCGTCGGCTCAGGATATGCATCAAGAGAATGAACAAGACAAAATACTAAAATTATCAATGTATTTGCTAAAGTGTCACGCCTCGAAACTTGTTGGTGCTCTCCCGCGTACGTGCGTCAAACTTTTCATCCTGTAAGTAGAATCGACAAAAGGAACAGAAAAAAAATCCCATGGCGTGTAGCAACTACAAACACCTTCTCCTCCATCATCCAATTCCCCAAAACGTAATGGGAAACAAAGGCACGATCCTCCTTCGCCGTGCTCTTCAGCCAAGGAAAAAAAAAAGAAACAAAATAAACAGTCGAGTCAAGGAGAGACGACGAAAACAAAGACAAAAGTGAAGGAAACAAAACAACGGCATATTGTTTTGCCTTTTCTCAGCGCTCAAGATCGGCTTGCCCAACATTCTTCTCAACTGCCAGCCAATTATATCGTCGGATCCTCCTGTGCATGACCGCAATACTTCTTCTCACCGCAACGAAGAGAGAATCCTTGCCCAGATCTTCAAGACGTCACTTTTGCCATCCTCGTCGTTGTTCGTAAAAGACACAAGTCGTTGCCGTGCTATGAAATGCGCTGCGATTCCCTATTCCGGCTCTTAGGTTCATAAAATCGTCAACTAGAAAAAAAAGCGCCTTTAGAAAACTTTTTGTCTTTTTTTCTTTCGTTGTGAGATGCAACCGAATAAACTTTTCTGTCTGAAATAGCAGCGAGCGTCTCCCTGCCTGGGAAAGGCCATCATCTATAGTCGTGAAATCAAAAAGCAGAAAATATGGGGAGGGCTAAATGTACAATCTGTTTGCTTGTCTCGTTTTTGCCTCCCGTCTAAGGACGTCCCGGACGTCCCTTCTTGTTGGCCGGCACCTTGGTCCAGCCATCATCTTCGACAGGAGCGGCCTCGCCGGCCTCGGAGGGGGCAGCGCTCTGCTGAGCGCTCGCCCCATTGGCACGGGGTCCACGGGTATCATTTCGACCGCCTCGGGGTGCGCCGCCACGGCCGCCTCGGGCACCACCGCGGGCACCACGCTGCTCACCAGAGGCCGATCTCCAGCTGCCACCTTCGGTAGCTCTGGACTTGGGGACACCCTCCTTGGCCTCCTTGGCCTCACGGGGTTCACGGGGCTCACGGGGCTCACGGGGCTCACGGGGCTCACGGGGCTCACGGGTACGCACGGGTAACTGCGTCTCAGCGCCATTTTCCTTCTCCTCAGCATCCTTGGGCTTTTCGGCAGCAGGTGCGTCCTCGATAGGAGTAGGCGCTTCCTCTTGAACGGCGGCTGCTTCCTCTTGAGCAGCGGCTGCCTTGGCCTTAGCTTCAGCCTCGGCCTCCTCGGCCTCCTTAGCAGCCTGTTTGGCAAGGCGACGCTCCTCCTTGGCCTTCTCATCAGCCTCGCGCTTCTCCTGGAGAGCCTGCTGGCGCTTCACTTCAAGTTCCCGCTCGCGACCGGCCGTGTCGATAGGACGGGCGGCGCCAAAGGGGCTGGCCTTGGAGTCGGCGGCGGGAGTAGCGGCATCGCTCGACTCGGCAACGCTACGCTTCTGGAGGTTCAGACGGGGACGGCTGGCAGGGGCAGCAGCGGGAACAGGAGCAGCGGAAGCATCCTCACCTCCCTCCTGGGAAGGCGACTGCTTTCCGGCGTCCGGACGCATGCGGTCGCGCCATTGGAAGTCCTTTTCGGCGGCAGTGGGGCTTCTGTCAACTCTCTCAGCTCTCTCAGCTCTCTCGGGTCGGTCAGTGCGAGAACCACGGAAGGATTCGCTGCGCTCACCCATGCCCTCGGGGGCAGGGCGAGGAGGACGGCTGTTGTCGCGGCCACCAAACTCGTGGGGTGGGAGGGCGGCAAGAGGACCACGGCGTTCCCAGTTCATCTCTCGAGCAGGGCCGCGGTTAGACTCGAGAGCAGGGTCGCGCATTCTGCGCTCACTACCAAACTCGGAAGGCTGACGGTTGCCACCACGACCGGGAAGATCAGGCAGGGGTCCCTTGCGAGTCCAATCGCTAAGATCGCGGTTCGAGTCCATGCGGCCATCTCCGCCACGGGCTGCGTTTGTGTCAGTAGGAATGAAATAACTGAGACGTGCGTCTTTAGGTACTTACGAGGATCAGCAACCTTAATCTTGATCATACGTCCCTGGAAGGATTCGTTATCAAGCGCAAGAGCCTTCTTAAGGCCCTCGAGATCGGTAAACTCGACATAACCGAACCCTTTGGGGCGCTGCATTTCGCGATCTTCAATAATTCGGACGCTCACAATTTCGCTGTCGGCAAAGAAATCGGTGACGGACTCAACCGTCGCATCGTAAGAGAGGTTCCCGAGGTGAGCGGTGAACGGGGGACGCTCGGGAAGCGACTGGGGAGCGCTCTCGCGAACAGAGTAGCCTAGAACAGTTAGCGAGACGGCATCTTGACACGAGGGGGTCTGAATATGCGCGAACCTCGGTCCTGCCAGGAGGAAACAGCGCCACCAGGGCGGGGTCGGTCGCTCGAGGGGAGGGGTTGAGTGCCTGATATATTCTGTTAGTTTGGATCGCAGCTATCTGGACACGACAACACGCATACCGCCAACTATAGATTGGTTACAAACACGACAAATTTGTTCTATAGACAGAGCATCCACTTACCATAAGAATCCTCAACCTCATCAGCCCAAGAACCACCACCAAAACCAGTACCTGTTGATACTGTCAGTATAACGACGAGGGTGGCGCGTTGTGTTGCGACGAACCATCATTCAGAAAGTCCCCCAGGGACATAGTCTGCTGTTGTTGCTTCTTTTTAGGAGCTATGAGAAGGCCATGTCAGCATAGATCCGGGACAAGAGGATCGGGTGGACATGGACGGACCCATGATTGCGGTGTAAAAGAACCACGCGCAGCGGAATAGGTGACCGGTGCGCGTATGTGACGAAAGTTAGAGGGGCAAGAGCCGACCGGAGCAGCTCTGCGGGAAATTAAGTAGACAGTCGGAAAACGGGTGACGGCGACAAATAAGGGATACGGGTATTGTCGAGATTCGGAAGGAGGGCGATAGTATGGGACCCCGATTGCGTTACGGTGTCTGGGGTTGACGAGGCGAAATTTGCTCGACCGTGGGAAAAAAGACGAGGCCACCAAGGGCCACAGAAGGGTTGCTTCAATTTTCTTGGTTGAGTGGGAGACGCTAGCCCTGAAAAGGTTTAGCCTATCATGGATCATTGATGACCCACTGCTTGTACGCGGCTGGGAAACTCGGCGAAGTCGTTGAGCCACAGCACCAGCCACAATGCGCAGGTCGTTATTACTGCTAGTTACGTTATGACTGGCTGGTAATAACTCGACAAAAGATCCGACCCTGATTTTCGAGGCGCGTCAAGTCATTACGCTCGTTTGCATCGACCTGACTGCGGCCCTTTTTCGCCTCACTCTGTATACTGGCGCGTCATTCAACGTGTTTCATTAATTCTGCTTTAATATTCGAATTTTACTACTCTTCACTGGCGAATCTTCGTGGCGCTCAAGCCTTTTGCGTCGGATCCGGTTTCTCCCTTCTCAACCTCGCCTCACTACCATGGCCTCACAACCCACTCCTCAGGATTTGAAAGGACTGGCTCAGCGCAAAAGACAAGGATTCTTCTCACCAGAGGTGGCGGAACTTATTTTCCCTCCATTGAAAGTTGGATTTTGGGCTGGTATGTGGGCGTGGCGACTGCTCCGATGGGAGAGCTGCTAACTCACACAACCGAAACAGGAACTGCAGGAGTATTAGCTGGCGTTGGTGGTGCTATTGCCAGAGATACGAGTCCAGTGATTAGTGGTTCCGTCACTGGGATACAATGGTTTACTCTTGGGACCACTTTCTGGTGTATGTATGAACTCGGTCCTGCAATATTCATCCGCTGACAGAATCACAGTCTCTAGGAGCCTCGCTATGCGAGCATGGGGCAACCAGGAAGTGACGCGGCAATCTGACAGAACTATAATAAGCGCAATCGCCGGGACAACCACCGGTGCTGTATCGGGGCTGTTGCGTAAGTTTCATGCGGCCAACGCCAATGTCCAGTGCCCTGCTAACCAGCAATAGGTGGTCCTACAAAGATCATACCAGCTATGATCATGTGGGGGTTAATGGGTGCTGGAGGACAGATGCTGGTACATCGTCATGAAGCCAACCAGATGAAACCCAAAATAGAAAACGGCCCCGGTTTCTGGTCTCGACTGAACCCGCTAAGGAAGCTGACGGATGAAGAGTACATGGACATGATGAGGGAGAAGAAGCTCAAACTGGACGTTGACATTTCGCTAATCGACGACCGGATCGCAGAACTGAGGGCAATGGAACACAAGGCCCGGGAAGCCGAGCGTGCCATACCGCCACAGCAAAATTGATTGAGGTTGACGGTATAGGATATGCAGTGTATAATTAGATGGTTTGTCTCGTGGGATGTGAGAGCACATCGAAACTCCACACAAATACCCAGCGTGGCCACGGGTGGCTAATGATTTTATTTATTTTGAATTGAATTGTGCGTTCACTCATGGTAGAGTGGCTGCTGTTATCAGTCCAATTAGCGCGCTCTTGTATGCTGAATGGCCATCCAGCTTGGATGTCACCAGGCTACGCCTCATGCGGGCATACCACATGTTGTTGGATAGAAGGGTGTGGTGTCCACTGTTCCGGACAATTTAGCAGCGGAGTAGCCACGTTGATGCATGCCTACAGGTACTTACCTACCTACCTAGGTAGGTACCTACGGTATGTAGACGGCACGATGTTTTTGCTCTACGGACAAGAAACCATCTCCATGCCATCGCATATGCACTGTATTAGTAAATAAATAAACTGGGTGCTGGTATTTTTCTCAGCGCCACATTGTATTTGAGCCAATTTCACAACACGCCACACGTCATCGTTATAGCGGCCTGGGGCAGTTTGACACTGTATCCGCCCCCTCCGGCCGCTAAAAGCCATCACCTAGCCCGATTTTTGGCATTTTTAGCCCACCGGGTTTTCATTCATGCAGCCACTGTACAGGTACCTAGTCCCTATCTTCAGACCAGTAGGTAGTTACCCCAGTTTGCCAAGTCAAGCCTCCAAGTCCAACCCTCCCTCCATGCCGTCTCACCCAGCTAATACAAGCACTCCGGATAAGTCCCACCAAGCTCGTTTCTTTTCGCCCTCACCATTCCCAACAGTCGCCAGCCTTGCGCGCCAGAACAACAATCGGCCGCTGAATTTCTGGCAGCTTGGCGTATGCTATAATAACTACCCAGCTAGGCAGGCCTACCCACATTCTCTAGCCGCGCCGAACCGTCAGTTAAAAGAGGAGACGCCCAGTATTCTCCTGCACCTAGTAGGCAGCTACTCCAACGATTGGGATCAGCGCTCCATCGACAACCTTCTTCGTTGCACCTCCCTACACTTGCGCCGGCACACGAAACCTCGATCGGTAGCTTCGGGAGTTCGATTCTACAACTTCATCTCCACAACCGTGACTTCCCGTCTTCCCATCCAAGTCGCCCCCAACTGTCCGCCTCCGCAATGGCTCGCGCTACGACTCAAGCTTGTTAGAGTGTTCTGGGCGGATTACCAGGTAACTCGCGCCAAACTGTTCGTCTTCCATACTTGCCAACTACAGTTGCCAACTTTTTCAACAACTAACACATCTCAGACGGAACTCTGCGCCGCTGGTCAGCAACGGGGCGGCACAACCATGGCTCTCCTAAACCCGACCTTTTTACTCGGCCTCGTCGTCCTCGTGTACCTGTCGTCCTTCGTCCTCTTTGCTGTCATTCGAATCCTCACCGGCATATCCATTCAGCGAGTAGGATACCTGTCCCTGCGAAGACTCGCCTACACCCCTAAGGATGGCTGTACGGTGGAGATTCGCAGTCTGGGCCTCCACATCCATCGCCCGACCTTTGCGCAACCTACATGGCTAAGTGTCGTCTTGAACGAGCTTGTAGTCACTCTCAACGTACAGGAGCTGGAGGGAAACAAATCTCCCCAGGGCACCGATGAAGCGAACGCGACAAGTACCGAGTCCGAGCCTTCCGAGCGCTCTATTCCTGCGAAGCGCCGTCCGATGCGACGCGATGAAGATACCGATCCACGACGCGATCCCTGGAAACAGCTATCGAAAATTAAAGACAAAATCAAGCGAATACACAGAATGGTGAAATGGCTACGAATGATTGACGTCGTTGCGACCAACTCTACGATTCACGTTGTCGATGTGGGCAATATTCAGGTCGGTAGCATTACTCTGGCAGTCGACACGCGAAACAAGAAGGTAGACCGCGCCAGATTCTTTCATCAAAAGTCGACATACTACAAGCACGGCCACCAAGCTGAGTGGATTGTGACCGTCCGCAGCGTTCTCTTCACAGCGGATGGAAATGAGTCGCTGGAAATTCTGGACAATGCGCTTCTTGAGGTGCATGGCTTCATTCACCATTCAAGGGAAGGCCTACGTGATGCCACCGTCGCACTCAAACTTGGGCGTGTTCACATTCCATACGATGACTTGGAGCTTTGCATCTCGCATTATCATCGATGCCGCAGACGGGCCACTTTCTACGAACCCAAAGGCTCCGCCGACATCTCCATTCGGACCCTGCGGCAGCGATCAGACATTGAAGAAAAGGACGAAGGTAGCGAGGAGCTTCCCCAAGCCAAACGAGGATCCCACGATTTCTTCAACTCTATTCTCCATGGAATCAAAGAGATCCAATTTGCTGTCAGCTTCATCAGCATAAACAAGAGAGCGCGCTCGGTGCAACCAAACGCGCAGCCAGTTTTGGTCAGTGCTTCTATGAAGGAATTTGGTGTCGATCTTCACAGGTTGGATCCAAAGTCGCCTTCTCACAGAATGTACTTTCCCCCCACGGACGTTGCTCACGAGGGACTGGCTGCGGCGCTCTCTCTGTCTATTGGTATCGACGACGGCAACGGAAGACCGGAGCGCCTCTTGTACATTCCGATGGCTACGACAACGGTTCGCACGACTCTTCCCTCCAAAACGGTGCAGCTATCAGATGAAGACCATGATAGCGTGGAGGAGAAGAATGCTAATATTTTGTTCGCCAATTCTGTCGTCACCTCACCTTCCGTTGATCTTGATCCCGCACATCTCCCACTCTTGATTGCATTGCTGCAACCGAGACCAAAATCCCCCAAAGCGACTCGCGATACCCGCAGCAGCCTCATGTCACGGTTCCTGCCTAAAGCTAATATGAAGTTTTCGCTACATGAGCCTGTTATCCGCATAAAACTCAAGACGCTCGAAAAGACCGATGATCCCGATGACTTTGATCTCATCATATCGTCCATATCGTCCATCTCCCTCGACGTCGAGTCATCCCACTCTCCGCTTGAGGACATGCATTATTCTTTGGATGGTGCTATGCGTATCCAGTCGCACCAGCTATACTACCATACCCACTCCGGAGAACGATTCAACCTGATTACTACAGAAGCCACAGAACTCAAAGTACATCTTGCCGCCAATCCTGATGTATCTGTCGAAATCAATGGAGTCATTTCCTCCATGGCGGTCAGCATGGTGCGACCAGAAATCACCGATGGTATTCATCAAATCATTCGTCAACTCCGCATGGATGTTGAGCCTGAGAAGCGAGCTACTCCTAAGAGCGTCAAGCATAGGAATCTCCTGCGTCGAGCACCAGATTGGCTTCTTCGCTGCCATCTTGAAGCAAAAGACTTTAATGTTGAAGTTGCTGGTATCGACGAAGATATTTCAGACGACACTCGTGGCGTATCTCTGCACCTCGACACGGTCGCCGCCGAGTATCGCGCTCACCGCTTAGATGGACTGCACCGTCGTTTGCCCAGGAGAAGAACTCATAGCAGATCTATCACGCAGTCCGACTCGGACATCACACCATCCGCTTCGCCGCGTATCAGACGCAAGGGTCAAACACACGGCGATGGAAGAAGGCTGTCTTTCAACGTCAAGGGTCTCGAGGCCCAAATTATGGAGGATATAGACCGGTTGGAGGTCGAGCCATTCGTGAATATTCCTCGTTTCGAGGTCCTGCTTTCCGCAGCAAGCGACAATCATGGCCCCATGTTTAACGTGCAGGTGTCAGTGCGCACGATAATGATGCAATATTCACTATTTCGTCATTACTCAGTCGGTGTCGCTGCACTGACCCTGAAGAAGGCTTTTATGAGGCCCGGACGAGAAGCTCCACGAGCGCATGAACCCTCACCCTTTAGAGCAAATCGCCTCGCTCCACCAAGCCGTTCCGGCGCAGATTCATCAACCGCGCCGCCGGAATTGGTCATCCTGGATGTCAAGGCTGCGCTGGTGCAGCTCAAAGCCGAGCTACCTCATGACCCCCTTATCATGCTGCGTATTTATGGGTTGGAGGCGGGACGACACAGATGGTCTACACCGTATATGACGTCAACTCTTATTCGCCTCTATGTCCAGCCTCCAAGAATGCCAAATGTTTGGGCCCGCATGGTTGGCATCAAAACCGGTCGCCTTGATTTACGAGAAACTAGGCATAAGACAGCAAACGGACCTGTTGTTGAAGAGCGACTCATTGACATCTCTACCGATGCAATTCGAATCGCGGTGCCCCACGAAGTAATTGTCGCTCGCATCAGCGACAATATCGTCAATGTTGTCAAGTCCGTTCAGCAACTTCACCATCGCTTCAAGACTGGGACCAACGAGTATATCCTCGAGAAGAAACCTGAAGGACCGAAGAGTGTTCCAAAGATCGCTGTTCGCTCGCGCAACTTTTTGTTCGAAATCGAAGACGGGGCCTTTGAGTGGAAGCTGGGTATGATATACCGCGCTGGGCGCCAAGAGCAAGTACAGCGCTTAGCTCGTGAAGAGGCTTTCAACCTGAAAATCAAGAAAGTCCAAGAGGAAGAAGCACGACGAGGCGGTAGCAAACTCCGCTCTCGATCCACATTCGTGCGCGGCCGGGTCGACAATAGCTCAACATCTTGGTTCCGAAACCGCAGTGCAGACCCTTATCGCCATGATCGTAGAGCACGCTCCCCGCGTCGGGCCGGTATCCCTACTTACGACCCAGAAGGTGGCAATCGGACCGTCAGTGGCGACGCAAAGATTAGTGAAAATGATGCTCGCGCCCATCTGGACATGTTCAATGCCCAGTCATGGAAGAAGCGGATCGACCAAGCATGCCGAATGTCACAAGAGAGCATTCGCGAGCTTCGAGATACGTTCTGGGGACCTAACCACCTCCCTGATGACATTCAAGAAACCGAGAATATTTTGGAGGTACCCCCGCGGCCAGCCCTCATGTCTACAATGATTTCCGATCTTCACGTAGTCATCGACAAGCCTACATTTGCCATGAAAGACCTACCGGATTTCCTTTACAATGTCGGCAAGGGGATGCCCCGCGACACGAAATACGGCCTCCTAGTCCCGATGCACATTGCAATCAACATGAACGAGGCTAGGGTGAGCTTACGAGACTACCCACTTCCAGTGCTGCACATACCGTGTCTGAAGGCTGGCCAATCCTCAAGACAGCCCTCTGTCTCTCTGAAAACAAACTTTGTGTTGGCCGAAGAATTCCGTGGTATCGAATCTACAAGACGAGTTCGTGTCAATGTCGTGCCGCCCAAGAGCAGCGACCCTACTGCTTCTAACGAAGGTGGCTTTGCAATCGAGGTACGACGAACGATGGGACCAGTCAAGTCCTTCACAGATGTCGCGATGGACATCAATACAGCTTTGCCTACCCGGATTACATGGAGTCCCTGCTACCAACCCGCCATTCAAGACATGATGATGGCCATCGAATCGTTTACTAAGCCCCCTATTGACCCATCCGAGAGGGTCGGTTTCTGGGACAAATTAAGACTGAATTTTCATTCGCGAATTCACGCGGCTTGGAAGGGCGACGGCGATGTACACCTGGCGCTCAAGGGAACTCGTGACCCTTACCAGGTTACTGGCAATGGTGCTGGTTTCCTCATGTGCTGGCGCAATGACGTTCGCTGGAATATCAATGCAGACGACAATCCGAAACAGTTCATGACGGTAGACAGTGGAGAGTATGTGCTGGCTGTACCTGATTATAGTCACCAAGTCCGCGAATCGGCCAGAAGACGAATCGAGGATGGCAGCCATCTAGCCGAAGACAATCTAAGACAGGCGACAGCGTTCAAAAAAGTCATTATGAAACTTTCGGGCAAAGTACAGTGGCTAGCTGGTTTGGTATTCGAAAAGGAGATCGAAAACGGACACCGCAGCTTCGATTTTATTCCGCACTACAATGTTGTGCTGAAGAACCCACACTTTGCTCACAGCGAGGGAGATCTTCCCTATGACGCTTTCCGCGGCTTCAGGAGTCGCCACATCCATCTGTCCATCGCTGTACGAGCCCCTGTCGACCGCGAATGGATGTCCTCAAATCCGGTGCCATCGCGAAGCTACAACACCATTCATCTATCGCCGCGTTTCTTCACGCACTTCTTCACCTGGTGGGGCCTCTTTAGCCAACCCATGTCCCTTCCTATTAGGCAAGGCAATCTCTTCCCTGGTCGAGAGAAGAGTAGCAAAAAGTTTGGCAGACATTTGGCTACAGTCAAGTATAGTATATTGCTCGCGCCCCTTTTCTTGAGCCATATTTACAAGCATAAGGATGCAGAAGACTATGCCCAAAATGAAGCTGTGTCGGCTACAGGGTTGAAAGTCCGTTTCGACAGTTTTATGCTCGATTTGCATCAGCGGCGAGAGGAATTCAACACCCTGGCGAAAACAAATAACTCTCCTAGCAGGACGTCGGGCATCAAAATCCACGCCGGCCACCTAGATCTCGCAGCTGCAGATATCCGCGCGGTATCGGCAAGCTTGAAGGGCACCACAACTGAAGCGATTAAGAAGGGTTCCATTTCATCACTGATTACGGACCAGGATGATAAGCCTGATTTATCTCACTTCACCATCCCTGACGATGACTTGAGTTGGATTGATATGGACGATTTTGTTGAGCTAGACTGGATTTTGCCAACGGAGGCGCATCCCGACACCCAAATTCTTCCTTTGGCGTACGCTCCAAGATTCACATACTTCCGGCAGACAGATATTGGGGGAGTCATCTCAGGCGATCCGACCCGAACCAGTCCATTTGGAAACGAGCCGACTCACTTTTGTCTACTAAGCCAAGAAGATGACAACAAAAAGGTCCAAATGGAGCTGATACAAGAGCGGCTTGATCAATTGGAACTTCAAATGCTGTCTCATTCGCGTAACGTCGGCGAGGCTGAACTGAAGCTTGTGCAGGCTCCAACCAAGGAAAGCAACCTTGTCGATGACTGCGAGGCTCTCAAACGACACACCGTCGTTCTCAAGGATAAGAAGGCGTTTCTGGAGAACATGCTGGAGCAAGTTCGGACCAAGATTCGAGGCAGTGGCTGCCACTTTTCCCCCTTGTATACTGACCGTGGCCCGTCGCCGGATGACTCGAGCAGTGAGGAGCAAGTCATGGACATCCCGACCACATCTCACTTTGAAAGTGAATTCAATAATCGGTTTGTCATTCATAACATGCAGCTGAAATGGAACAACCTGCTCCGGAACATTGTGTTGCGCTACATTCACCAAAACGGCCAGAGACGAGGTTTTGTCTACTACCTTTCACGACGTGCAATCAAATTTATTCTGGACATGGTGGATGAGCAAAACAAAACAAAGACCACCAGTCAACCGTCGAAGTTTCCAGCGACGCCAGCTGCCAACTCCACCCCAGATACACACAACGGAAAGCAAGCGCCCCAGGATTTGGAGGACCGCATTAGAAGCATCCTTGAGGATGGAAGAAGATTCTCTGCCACGTCCAATTTTCTGCCCAATGAGGATGGATCCATCAGCGGCACCATTGAAGATCTCGAATTTGGTATTTCCAAGGACTTTAGCCCACAGAACAGTTACCATGTGCGGCTTATCGCGCCTCAGATCCAGTTGCAGAGTGAGAAGAACAAGAAGCATGTGGTTCTTATCACTGCCAAGGGTATGGAGCTCAAGGTTGTGGAAATCATGGACAAGGACCGCATCTCTGATACTGTCAGCGGCCTGATCCAACGCAGGTTTCTCGTCAATATGGACAGCACTCAATTTTTTGTCACGCATCAGAAATGGTTCCAGACTCACCTGGTGTCCATGTATGCCGGAAGCAGATATGGCACGCCTGGTGGCTCAGCTTGGCCACCATGGGTTCCCATGGAAATTATGTTTGACTTCCAAGCAGACCCCTTTGGCTTCAAACGTGTGGTCCAGAAGACGTCTGCAATGCTTCGATATGACAAATACAACACTCTTCGTTTGAAGTACAACGCGGAGGTTAGCACGGAAGAGAATGGCAATTCGGACGAACAAGCAACAGAGTCCAGGACAGATAATCTCTGGGTTGAATTCCCTCAAGTCCGCGCACTCTGCAATTCGTCGCAATACTATGCCATGTACGTTATCGTGCTCGACTTGCTGATGTACAGCGAACCGCTTGAAAAGACGAGAAGTGAGCGACTGGAAAAGATCATGTTGGCATCGGACTTTAGCGACCTCAGCGGGGCACCGGCAATGGTGATGAAACTGCAGGAGAGGATCAAGCAGCTGGAAGAAATCAAGATGCACTTCCAAGTGTACTCCAAGTACCTTGACAAAAGAGGCTGGGAAGAGCGGCTGTACTTGGAGCGTGATCTGGCTGCGTGTGAGGACGAGTTGTTCTTTTTGATGAAGGCTATTACAACGTCTCAGCGCAAATACGACGTGAATGCAGATTCGACACCGTTGGTCAAGTGGAGCATTGCAGCTCGTGAGATTGTTTGGCATCTCATGCAGAATACAAATGAGCCACTGGTGGAGATGCAGCTGAAGGACATTGAATACGACCGAACCGACAACTCGGATGGGTCGCATATGAATCTGATTCGTGTCAAAAAGATTCTCGGACTGAACTTACTCAAGGACGCAACGTATCCGGAGATTATTGCGCCGTATCTCGATGGCAAAACCAAGGATGGAAACAAGGACATGATTCGTGTATACTGGCATATGCTTGAGGCTATCGCTGGCATTCCAGTAATGGATAGATTCGAAGTGAATCTCGTCCCAATCAAGGTTCAGTTGGAGCGAGAAGCTGGGCAACGTCTCTTTGAGTACATTTTCCCTGGTATGGACGGTGAAAGGTCCTCTGGAGGCAAGCACGAGACGCCGGCCATAATCAAAACGGAAGCCGACGATGACGATAGCGAGTCGCTTGCAAGCTCAACAGGTAGAGTAGGGACGCCGGGTGGATTGACGGCCGACAAGGAGTCCAATTTCTCGACGCGTCCTGGGTCGCTGGAGTTGCGACTTCGCCCTACGCTCTCTTCGCTCGGACCTGAGGAAGACCCAAAGCCCAACAAGGCGTTGAGTGTGCACTCTACCGAGAGCCAGAGCGGCTTCCGCCTGTTTCGGTCCAGCGGAACTGGCAAGACGCTCGTTAAGAAGTCTTCCCATGATTCACTACGATCTGGACGGCCGGGCGCTCTTGGGCGAGCTCCAACAGGCCTCTCCATTAAGGACGGTGGAGGGTCGGAGGCTAAGAAGACGTCACGTTTCAACAAGAGCAAGAAGGTTGTCGACAATGCCAAGCAATCGGATGATCTTACCAAGATGATGGATCGTGCCAGCAATTACATGACTTTTGCACACATCAAGATGCCATCGGTGGTCTTGTGTCTCAGCTACAAGGGCAAAGATCAGCGCAACTTTGAAGACGTGCACGACTTTGTGTTTAGGCTTCCGACGCTGGAATGGCAGAATAAGACGTGGTCGAATTTGGACCTTGCCCTAGCGTTGAAGAAGGCGGTTATGAAGGCGCTCATCTCGCACACGGGGGCGATTATCGGCAACAAGTTCTCCAAGCACCGTCCCAACGCTGAGCAGAGAAGCAAACTGCGCGAGATGGCCAACAGCTCGGTGCTGATTGCTCCTCTTACCACGAGCGGAGCAGCGTCAACGTACGCTGGCAGCATCAACGACAGCGACGATTCGTCCAGCCTGTACGGCGCGTCTCCGGTCGACTATTCCCGATCGCCGCCGCAGTCGCGTGGCAGCACCCACAACAGCATCATGCCGTTCCAGCGCTCGGATAGCCGCAGCAGCAGCATCAGCGGCCTCAGTCAAACGGCGGGTGGCGGAAACATTCCCGCGTTCCTGACCATGACGCCGCCGACGCCGGTAGAGGGGAGAAACGCCGAGGGCAGTGGCGGCTTTGGACTGGGGATCGAGTACCTGCGGCCGTCTTCTAGCGGGGGTGTGCCGGGCTCGTCGCACCGGCGGCTGCTCCGGAATCTTCCGTCGGGGGACAGCCGGCCGGCGACGAGCGCGAGTAATTTGACAGGTGGCCATGCGGAGAGCGCGACGCAGGCGCCGGGCGAGGGACGGCGTAAGAGCGGCGGCGTGGGCGGCCTCAAGGGCAAAATGAGCCTGTTTGGACGCAAGAATCATAGGGAGAGCTCGGGCAAGACGGAAGACGACGAGTCGGGCGACGAGGAAAAGAGCCCCCGTAGCAAGCGATTGAGCTGGGCGCAAGGCCGGACAAAGACGGGCTAGGGGGTGGGAGAGGGAGATGGAGAGGGAGATTTGGACATGAAAAGTTGGATGGTGGAGGGTTGAATTTGGCGTTGTGGGCTATACACGTTGCATGGACGCAGACATGGTCATCTTTTATGTTTGAGTTTTATCTCCATCTTTAGAAGGTTGGGCGGCGCCCTGGAGAGGGTGTTGATATTTGTTACGCTTCTTTTCAGCGCACATTCGTTGTTGTTTTATTTTGTTTTATTTGTCTGATTTATCCTACAGTATCAGGCCGCGGGCATTGGCGGTCTCAGGAACACGCATACATAATTACTCAGCAAGTCGTGTTTGTCATGTTGATACACAATATAATGATTAAAAATATTCTTCTTCTCCCAAAAGATCAGTACAACTCGGATTGTCCTTATTCAGTGAGGACATGCCACGGGCCATCAAACAAGACCTTGTGCTTGTTCAGAAGCATGCCTCTGTCATCAAACTCGACGCCCTCTTCCCTCAGCAGGTCCAACTTTTTCTGTATATTCGTCCCCGACGGCGGCTGCAGCTTCTTGGCCGCGGCCACACCGGGCGGCTTGGTACCCCTGCTCTGGGAGGCTTTCCCCGCGACGCGCGCACCGCCGGCGGCGCCGCAAAAGGTCGACCTCTCGACGACCTCGCCGTCGTAGCCGTTGACGTAGCCGGTGGCGGCAACGCAGCGGTGGCAGGGGATGCGCGGGGCAAAGACGTTGTTGCGGAGGGCGTTGCCGACGGCGCGCGGCGAGGTGCGCAGGGCGCGGGCCATGCTCCCGTACGTGGTGACGCGGCCGGCGGGGATCTGCTGCAGCAGGTGGAAGACGCGCTGCTGAAAGGGCGTGAGGAGGGCGGCCTCGGACGTGGTGAGGGAGGAGGAGGAGGGGAGGATGGTGGTGGTGGTTGTGATGCCGTGCGGGTTGGCGGGCGTGTACATGGTGATGCGGGTGGCCATGATGAGGGAGGTAGGTGAGTTGGAAGACGGCTATGGAAGATGGGGGGAGGGCAGGGTGATATATATAGAGTAAAGATGTATAAAAAAGTGAGATTCTTGAATGAGTCAATTGGAAACGCGTCATGCACGGTTGCTCTCAATGTTGAGTTGCGACGCGCCGCCAAGTGGATTTCTAAGCGTGAATTTTGTCGCCGTCTTTTTGGTGTTGCTTTTGATGTTGGCGTCGTGCATCAGCATCTCCTCCCCATCAGTTGCTACTTGCCATTCGCGACGGGCCATCTCTATTTGTCCAAGATCTACGTAGCACCTCGATTACATGGTCCATATTTTTTCTAGGACTCTCCCCGAAGCCGATCAACATGCGTCCCAGTACCGGTAGGCTCATCCGCATCGCCGCTTGCTTGCACCGTCTCACTCACCCAATGCCAAACCAGCAATCATCCTTTTCCATGTCCTGTATCTCCCAGTCATGGCAAAATTCACCCCCCAAGAGAGCGCCATCGCGTTTCTCTCGACCGCTGAGTACGTCTTTGTCTGCGACGACAATGACCTGGCAACCCTCTGCCGCAACCCGCCCTACAACTTCAACTGCACGCTCGAGGGCTTTCTCAATGCGGATTTGCCGTTGGGTCGCTGTAGGGATGAAACGAAATGCAGCTGTGAGCTGCAGTCTACGGTTCTTAGAACGTAACGTCTTGATGGGCTTCGCAGCTCTGTAGTCTCTAGGGTACGTGGTCTCGTTGCAGTGTTTTGACTTCTGGGAGTTCCGGTTGGTGCTGTCTGGGCGTTTATTGTACACAAAATATAAAAGTAAACGGATGTTGCAACATACCATGGCATTTCATGAGTGATCGGGTACCAATGACGCCTAGCTACGCAAGCCCTAGTATTGACAAGCCACAGTTGATGGTACCGCCAATACCCTCACCAGCCACAAATCCAGCCGCCACTCCAAACGCATACATTTCAAACCTCTTGACACTCTTGATCCGCCACACAGCCGCCACCACGGCACCAACCATCATGGTGGTAGCCGTCTGCGGGTTCGGGAGCGTAAATGCCAGCCCAAAGATCATCATGTTGGGCCAGTACGGCTTGGTCCACGCATAGCCCGCGCGGCACACCAGATGCTTTGCAATGACCAGGCCGCTGGCAATCGCGGCCACGAGGACGGAAAAGTACACGCTCGAGGGCGGGATCGAGGGATTAGGGTCGCTGGCCACGACGGCAACGGCCCGCCACGCCGCCACCGTGGGCGCGGGAAAGTCGCATGTGCTGGCGTCGCCGGCGAGGATGCACGGATAGGCCGTGGCGAAGAGGAGGAAGATAGCTGGCGCTACGAGGGAGGCAACGAGCGTGCCGATGAGCTGCGCCGCGTACTGGAGATGGGCCGGCGTGCCAAGCAAGAAACCGACGCGAAAGTCGCCCATTAAATCTGTCGCTGCGTCAGTTGCCTGCAAGGAGACATCACGAATCCTCAAGGAACCGCCCATGCAAACATACCGCAGCCTTGACAGGCGCCAATGTTGGTCAGACTGGCACCCACCAGGTTCAGTCGTTGTGCCGCCTCGACCGACGCCCCCGACGCCCGTGATATGGTGCCGAGAGCAATCTGCGAGACCTTGGAGATTGCGTTGATGGGAGTCGTATCTGCATGATTAGCTGGCCAAAGAATCAATGTGCATTGGAGACTAGGCAAACGCACCAGTAGCACCCGTAGCTTGTATGGCGATCAGGGACATGGACAGAGCCAGGACCAAGGCCAGGGCCGCCTCGAGGAGCGGCATGCTGAACTGGAGACGCAAAATCAACAGTGCCGCGACGATGACGACGAGGAGACCCGGAAGCCACATCCACAGCTCAATGTCGTTTCTCGCCGCCACTGGCTTCTCGTCGAGCTGATCTGGCTCCTGCTCGACCACGGTATACTCGATGGCATCTGTGCTGCGTCGGAGGAGCGGCGGCAGCCAACCCGTGATTGCGGCCGAGACGAGCGACCAAATCTTACTCGACTGACACAGCAGCTCTACAGATTGTATCAATAACCTGCCGCTTACAGGCCCGAAACTGACCAGGATTTCATACCTAAAAAGGCCACGGCGAGAGTACACGCCACGCCGGGCCACAGCAGCCAGTACCGAGGGCTCGGATACTCGGCGCTCGAGAACGGATCCGACATGGCCGTATACGAGACCAGGCCCGGCAGTGCTGCTGCTTCTGTGCTGTTGTTCGGCTCGCCAAAGGCCAAGTTGACGGCGACGAGGTACGGTCCCAGCAGGCCCCTTGACGGGCCATGTTAGTTACCAACGTTTTGCGGCCGTTGATGTGTGCGGGCTGTCTTACCAGGCACAGACGGCACCGGCAAAAAAGGAGCAGGCGACGCCAAAGTCGACGAGAAACCCGGAGCCAATCATGGCGGGCGACCATTCCAACACCCAGCCCCAGCTCTCTGCGGCGACGGCGAATCGGGTCACTGTCTGGGCGATGCGTGCCTTGGCGATCCAGGTGAATACATGCCAGTTCTTTTACAGAAAAGTTAGCAGCCGTCATCGGTGCGAGATGTTATGCCGCGCTCTCACCCAAAGCACATTGGGCAGGAACAGGGAAGCCACGCGCAGCACCATGGCGGCCAGAAAAGCAACCACCGTCCACTTCATCTTGTCCCTCGCCAGCGCCGCCCCGCCCGCGGCCGAATGCATGCTGCGAATCGTGGCCGCCGTGGCAAACGAAGAAGGGAAGACGAGGTTCAAGTCTCTGGCCGCTTTTTCCATGAAGAACGTGCGTACTATAGAACGTGAGAAGTGTTGCTCTGCAAGCCAGGCTGGGGGGGGGGGCTTACAAGGAACGATGGAGAGAAGCCCAAAGTACCCGCCAATGGTGGTGAGAATAACCAGACGGACAAAGTCGCGGGCGGGCGTTGTCAGCAGATTGAGCTGGTAGAGGGCAGGGATGCCTGAAATAAAGACGTTGGACATGCCGCCTGACGCCGTCGCCATGGTCTGCGCGATGTTGTTCTCGTGCGGGCCAAACGACGAGGACGAGCGCTTCAACACGGCGAAGCTGACAATGGCCTGCAGGCTGTTAAACGATGCTGTAAATTGGTACAAGAAGAAGACGCACGCCGAGGACATTGGCCGAGGTGGTCCAGCCGGCGCGGAGACCAATGTAAATGTTGGAGGCATTGACGAGGACGCCGCAGAGGATTCCCACGACAGAGGCTCGCAGAGTAAGAATATGGCCGGAAGAGGCCGGTATATCGGGAAAAGGCAAAAATGTATCGAGCAAAGATGACGGGTCTGGAGTGTGGACGGTGGCGGGGGCCTCGACGCGGGTCTCGTCGCTGTCGGTGCTGGTGCTCTCTCTGGAAGACATGTTGCGCGTGCTTGGAAGGGATTGAGATTAACGAAACGGTGAAGAACAGAATCAAGAAAATGAAAATGGAAAGGGAAGCAGGGATCGGCGGATGGCTGCAGAAGCTCGGCTCGCTGGAAAGGCGGCGACACGGCATGGGTGGGCGCTGTGCAGGTCGTCTGTCATGCTACTGCACCGCTGGTGAATGTATGACAGTTTGCAGTCACTGTATCTGAATTGTTTGAATTACAGGGGGCTGCGCCCGCTATTGGTATTTGATTTCATTTTCGCATGTCGAGAATTATGCTTGAATATTTGAAAAAGACCGAGGCTCTGTCGGTCAAAATACACGAGACATTTCAGATATTCCGACAAAAAATTAGACTCTCTCGGCGACTACAACCGGCAGTTTTAAATATTGGACTATCACAAAGATTATGTCAGCTAAACTGCAACTGACAGTCTAAAGCTTTGATCAATTATACAACAAACGTACACCATCAGTGGTGCAGCTCCTTGTCAATGGCCCCGATCCGGTCCCCCTCGCCATCCGGGTATACGACGCCTAGCGACCATGTCAGTATGATAATCAAAATTTCGAAGCAATTGCCAGCATTACCCTTTGTCGGGTGGACCAGCCACCCCGGTCTAAGCATGTCGACGGCGCGGTCCTCGCTCCAGGCGTACAGCTTCTCCCAGTTGACGCACTGATGCGACGTCGAGTTGACGACGGGCAGGCGGCTGTCGGGCCGCCAGATGTACGTAATCAGGCCAATATCGCCGTGGCACATGGCCGACTGGCGTAAAAAGTCGAGGCAGTGCTCTGTTGAAGCGCGCGTTAGAAGCTTTCTCCTGAGGGCAGATGCAGCGGGGCATGCGCAAAAGCTCACCGTTGTGCAGCCGGTTCATGTCCAGCTGGTGCGGCGTAAAGTCGGGAAAGTAGTAGTCGGGATACATGAACTGGTGCAGGCGCTTGATGCAGTGCAGCTCGTGAAAGACGTTGAGCGTGCCAATGTAGTCGCTGGTGCCCGGCACGGCGACGCCAATCTTTTCGCGGCCGTGGTGTTTAAAGTATTTGCCTTCTACCCGCACATTCTGGCCTGAAGAAACATTAGCTTCCGATTTTTTTTCTTCCCAAGTATGGCAATGCAAAGACGCACTGTTTAGCAAATCGTGCCAGGCCTTGTCGAGTTCCGCAGACGGCGGGCCCGAGTAGATGCTTGAATCCTGAATATGGTCCTCGAGGGTAAACTTGGTATCGCTCCACTCAATGACCTTTGCCGCCGGTGCTATAAATACAAGCAAAGAAAAAAAGAACGTCAGCATTTTTCCCCCAATTATTTCGCAATTTCATGACGCACAATAGGCAACGCCAGGCACGCCCGAGCAAGACGTGCTCTTGCTCGCCGCCACCAGAGCCAGGAGCAGCAGATACACGCTCAGCAGCGCGCTATGGACGAGGAGAAACGTCCGGTCGCGCCAGATGGACTGCGGCTCCGGCGCGCTTGGGCAGCGCGGCGAGCCCTTTTCCAGCAGACGCTCGCTCGAGACGCGCTCCTCCTCGCCATCCTCGGTCGGCACGGGCCGAAAGTCGGCGCGCTTGATCTTGGACCAGCTGTACTGCTTGGCGTACTGGAAAGTGGCCGCCATTTGGTGTTGGCATTTGCAAAAAAAATAAAAAATAAAGGGAGGAAAAGTGTAAAGGCCAGCTGCAACGGCCCGGCGTAGAGATTCATCGTACCCTGGGAATTACGAATACAGACAAACAAAGCTACGCAGGGCAAAGGCGTGCGTGTATAAAATGGAGGGGGTGCGGCTTTAAATTCCTGTGACGGTCACGGTGACTGTGCGTCAAGTCACTTGACAGCGGCCAATCAGGTTGCAGCATTGGCCGACTTGCTGTCCATTTCGAGACAATGGCCAGATACGGGCGCCGGGCAGCTCGGGCAGCCCGGGCAGGGCTGAATTGGTCATCTACAGTTTGCAAGCGATTGCGTAGAATGACTGGAATTAAGATTTCTACTTGAAGAATTTGTAGACATACTGTCAAGCGAACTGGTATTTAAAAATTCTACTTGAAGACTGCTTGTAGTTAATACTATTGCGAAAGCGAGCTGGTAATTAACAGTTGTACTTGAAGAATAAGAATGCTTGTAGTTTACTGCAGCCATGATGGTATATACCATGGCTTTTCAGACTTTTCAGCACCCGAATCCGCTACAACAGGCCCAGTCGGTGCTGTTCCCGTTGGAATAGGTTCCGCCAGACCACCATGAGTAGGCCCATCAAGTGTCGCCAACTCTTTCAACCTCGGAAACCACTAGTAGACACAATTAGCAGCGGATCAAAACCTTAAACCTATTCCCCAAAAACGTACCGGTGTGCCGAACCCGCTGGCCACATCCCAGCCCTCCATCGCCGGAAACCCCGTCGTATTGCACCCCGTGGTGCTCCCATTCACCACGTCCACGAACCCACCCTTGTCGCCGACCGCGTAGATCCACGGATTCAGAAACCCCAGCGGCGGTTTCTTCTCCGCGAGCCGCGCATCGTTCAGCAGCGCCACCACGGCCGCGAACACGGGCGCCGACGCGCTCGTCCCGTCCACCACCTTTTGCCGCCCGTCCCACACCGTGACGATGCGCGTGCCCATGGCCGCCACGTCCGGATACGCCCTGCCGCGCGCATTGTACAGCCCCGCGTGCTGCCGCTGCCCGAGGCGCGCCAGGTACCGCGCCACCGCGCCGTCCTGGTACGCCGGCCGCGCAAAGTACTCGCTGAATCCGCCGCCGCTGACAAAGTGGTTATCCTCGTTGTACCCGACGACCTGCGGGCGCACGCCGCGCGTCGCCCCCACCGACGTCACCCACGGGCAGCCGTCCGGGAACCGCGCCGCGAACCGGCGGCCGCCGGACCGCCGGTCGTGGCACTGCGCCGGCCGCCCGACGCCCCAGTCGCCCGACCCGAGCACCACGCTGACGCCCCGCGCCCCGAGCTGCGCGAAGCCGCCGCACACGCGCCGCGCGTACGACGCCGGCACCGTGTACTCGGTGTCGGCGTACGAGATGCTCAGCACCGTCGGCAGCAGAGCCTGCGCGAGCAGCCACTCGATGAGCAGCAGGAATGGCTCGTTGTCGTTGGTCGGCGCCGACGGGTCCGGCGTCCACGGCGGTGGCGCCCCGCTGCCGACCGTGTACGTGACGAGCGGGACGGGGTGCCCGAGCCCGAGGAGCACCTGCGCGTCCAGGCCGCCCTCCTTGCCGGCGCCGTGGTCGAGTTGGGCCTGCGTGGACGGGCCCTGCCGGTTGACGCCGCCGGCAATCTCGACGATGCCAAAGCTGTCGGCGGCCGGGGCGGCGTCGGGCCGGTACGTCTGCAGGAACAGCCGCGCGTCGGTGCGGTTGTTGAACTCGCCGGAAAAGTTGCACAGCGCCATGGCGTTGCGACTGCTGGCTGCAGCGCGCGCCGTGTAGTTGAGCGTGCCGCACAGGACGCGCAGACAGAGCGGGGTGACGGCCGTCTCGTTGCACGCCTGCTCGGGCGTCAGGTCCGGCGGCGGGTGTGCGACGTCGATGATGGCGTCCGATCCGGCGGGCGACGTGCGCCCGGTGGCGGCGCGTCGCCGGACGGGGAAGAACGCGCTCGTCGGATGCACCGTGTCGACGAAGCCGTGCACGTCGGCCGGCAGCGACCACTGCGTGGCGCGCACGACGCTGGCGGTCGCGCGCCGGTAGACGTGGTACTCGGTCCGCAGGAGCGCTTCCGCCCGGGCGACGGTCATGTTTGGCACGCTGATCCAGTCGCGCGCCGGGCTGTGCCGCAGCTCCGCCGCGCCGATGCCGTGGGCGGCCAGCCACGCGTGTACCCGGGCGACGGCCTCGTCGGTCGGCGCCGTGTAGGCGCGGACCTGCGCGGCGGAGAGATGCGCGCCGTAGTTCTGGTGCGCGGGATCCGAAATCTCGAGCAGGCGCTTCTCGAGGCCCGCGAAATTGCCCTGCCGCACGCCAATGTGTAGCTGGAAGCGGTGCTCGGCGTCGGCGCGGCCGAGCCGGGCCCAGTCGTCGGGCGCCGGGTGAGACTCTTGCAGCACATGGGTGCTCTCGGGGCGGAAGAATCGGCTGGCGGGCAGCAGCCACAGCGGCCAGTTCTTTGGCATTTTTGCTGTTTTTCTGAAGCGAGAATAAATTATCGTCGTTTCCGTCTTGTTGAGAGTTGATCAGCCTCCCCCAATGTCGCCGTCGCCCGATACAGTGGCAGCAGTGGTTAGAGACGGCGGTTTGCATGCGTAGCATTGGCACTATTGCCACGCCCAGCGGCAATTAGAGAACCGTGATGCCCTGTAACTTGCAAGAGCGCGCCTGTAATTGTACAGTGATGTGACAGCAAGCCCAAGCCACCTGTCACCGCTCCAAAACGCCCGCTGTCAGCCCTCTGAAACACCGGCACAAGCATTGTCATGGCTGCAGCGCAGGGCTTACAGCCGCCCGTCGTCGGCTACAACAAACCGCCACTTGGGTTGGGACCAGCTCTTCCATTGCTATCTGGCGAAATTCTCTGGTTCTTCTAATTTTTCTGTCCATTCTTCTCTATTCACCTATTCATCAGAATTCAGCCCGTGCTGCCAACCATGTTCTTCACCAAAAAGAAGCTGCCGTTTCTCTTTGACCGGGCCGCCATGGAAAAGGCCGCCGTTATCCGCGGCGGCAAGACCGTCGACGGCTCCGAGAGCGGCGACTCCTTCCTCGACGAGCAGGAGATTCTCAACGTGCGTGCCCGGAAGTCGTCGTCGCAGAGGCGGTGGTGGATGAGCTTCCTGGCCGCCCACCTCATCCTCCTCGCTGTCTACCTCGGCACCACCCTCCGCATGCAGGCCGAGCTGGCCAAGCTGCGCAGACACGGGCTACAGATTATCCAGTGTATGTTGAATCGAAGAGGAGTCCAAGCTCAAGTGCTAATAAAAAAAAAGCACCCGCGTCCGGGGCCATAGAGTGGGCGGAACACACCTTTGTTGAGAATAGCTTCTCCGACGGCCCGTTCTCGGGCTTTCCGCGAGAGGAGATTACAAAGAACTGGCACGACTTGATCAACTGTACGTTTCGGCTCCCCTCACTCCCCAGGAAGTGATGGCTAATTGTGCAGACGAAAACATCATTATCGAGCCCGAAATCATTGCCCGCCTGGGTCGTGAGGACATTGCCGTCGCCGACCCCGAAGGACGTGGCTATCTCGGAACGCTCAACGTGTACCACCAGCTTCACTGCCTTGTACGTTCCAACCCTGCCCTATAACGACTGCGACTAACACGTCTGCAATCGGTCAGAAGCGGCTCTGGCAGTACACATACCCCGAAACCTACCGACAGAACCAGACGGCGGCCCAGGCCGAGGCAGATCGCCTACACAAAGGTATGCGCATGCATGCGGCTCGTCTTCACCCGCGCTAACTCTGGACAGAACACTGCTTCGACTTCCTCCGACAGTCCGTCATGTGCCTCGCCGACATTGGCATCATCACGTACCAGTGGAGCGACGACCGCATGGTGCCTATTGCCAACTCGACCACACACCAGTGCGCCAACTGGGAGAAGCTCGACGCTTGGACGCGGAAGCGGAGTGTCGACATGATGAAGCCAGGCTGGCTCATCCACCCAACAAAAGGTATGCAACCTACTGATGGTGTACTCTACAGTGCTGTTATTGACCCCAGCAGGATATGCGTACAAGGATCAAGACCACCATCATTAGTGAATTTGTTATTTTATGGCTTGAATAAATGCTCCTTTCATTCTCCTCGTATATTGCTCAAGGTGTATTGCCCAACCTGGTGATGCCATCGCCGTAGGGCCGCTGGCCGCTGCCATCCCACAGAGACTGGCGGGATTCGATACTGACAAAGGGGCATACAGTATTCAAGTCCTATCAAAACTTACGTCTTTTTTCTCAAAGATTTAAATGACTTACGAAATCAAGAATAAAAGTACAAGCGCCCTAGTTTGAGGTGCTAATCACTTGTGTCTATTGACGCCGACCAATGACTACCTAAATTTACTAGGAACTGTGCAAACGATGTACCCGCCCGCCATCTACCTATACAATGTACCACGGATGATCCCAGCGAGATCTCCTAGCGAGGGCCAGATCTTTCAATTCCGGGAACCACTGGAACATGTCAGCAATGAGCGCCCATCTCTTCTCGAGTCCTATACGTACCGGTGTCCCGAGTCCAGTGGCCGCATCCCAGCCCGGTGCCGCCGGGAACCCCGTCGTGTTGCAGCCCGTGGCCGCGCCGTGCAGAACATCGCGCAGCCCCGACTTTGCCGCGTACAGCCAGGGGTTGAGGAACCCCAGCGGCGGCTTCTTCTCCGCCAGCAGCGCGTCGTTGAGCAGGGCCACGATGGCGGCCACTGTCGGCGCCGAGCCGCTCGTGCCGTCCAGCAGGTGCGCCGTGCCGTTGTAGATGATGGTGTAGTGGTAGCCCTGCGCCGAGATATCCGGCACCGCGCGTCCGCCCGCATTATACAGGCCGTCGTGGAGCGCCCCGATGCCGCGCAGGTACCCGTCCACCGCCGCGTCCTGGTACGACGGGCGCGCAAAGTACTCGCTGAAGCCGCCGCCTGGACCCTCTTGTTGTTAGCATAAGACGCGCATGGTACGAGTGACCCGGGGCTCCCACGTACCGGTGACGAAATCGGACCGCCCGTCAAAGGCCGCCATCACGGGTGTAAAGTGGCGCGTCGCGCCGACGGCCGTCACATACGGGCACGACGCCGGAAACGCGGGCATGAAGCGCGTCGCGTTGCGGCCGTCGTTGGTCACGCACAAGCCGTCCTTGCCGACGCCTTCATCGCCCGAGGCGACGAGCACGCTGACGCCGCGCGCGCCGAGCTGCGCAAAGGCGGCGCAGACGCGCCTGGCGTACGCTTCCGGCACCGTCTGCTCCTCGTCGGCGTACGACACGGAGATGACGGACGGGAGGTGCTCCTGGGCGAGCAGGTGGTGCAGCCACTCCATGTAGGGCTCGTTGCCGTTGCGCACCTTGGCGGCGCTGGCGCGGAACGGCGGCTGGCCGCCGACGTTCCACGTCGTCAGCGGCGTGGGGTGCCCGATGCCGAGCATCGTCTCGACGTCGAGCGCGCCCTCGAGCCCCATGTGCCGCGCAAACTGCTCCGCCGTGTTGGGGGTCTGCCGGTCGTCAGCGCCCGCGACGAGCTCCGTGTCGAACGCTTCCGCCGCGCCGGCCGCCGCCGCGTCCGGCCGGTACAGCTCCAGGTACCGCCGGATGTCGGACCGGTTGTTGTTATTGCCGAGGAAGTTGACGACGCCCATGCGGTTCGTGGCCGCGGACTGGGCTGCGTAGGACAAGGTGCCGTAGAGCACGCGCATGCACAGCGGCGTCACGGCCAGCCGGTTGCACGCGTCGTCGACGCTCGGGTTCTCCGGCAGCTCGTCTATCGTGGGTACGTCTAGATGGCCGCGGTCGAGGACGTCCTCCTCGACGAGCTCTGCGTGGGTCGGCAACCGCCCTTGCTGCTCCCAGTCGGGCGGCGGCGGGCCGCCGTACCGGCTGGACGGCTTCGGCCGGAAGAAGGCGTCGGTCGGCTGCACCACGTCGACGTGCGGCGCCACGTGGGCGGGCAGCGACCACTCCGTCGTCCGGACCAGGACCGTGCCGTCGTGCACATTTTCAAACTCAAAGTAGCGGCATCGGAGCAGCTCCTCCACCTGCCGCACGGGCAGCGACGCCGTGATCCAGTCGTTGCCGGCGGATTTGGTAAAGCTGGTGACGTTGCTGGAGAGCAGCCAGCGCTCAATAGACGCGACTGCCTCGTCTGGAGCTCTGAAAAGGGCGGCCATTTCTTCGCGGCCAAGATGGCGGCCATAGCTGTGGCTCCTCGGGTCCGAGACTGACGAAAACAGAAGGGTCCTGTTAGCTATGCGAAGCGATGCCAAAGGAACCAGAAAACATACCCTCATACAGCCGCCACTTCAGCTCGTTCATCGTCTCCTCATCATGCTTGACACCAATTTGCAGATTGACCGTGGCCGCATCGCTCGCGGGCCGGAGCTTCCTCCAAGCCGGAGGGATAGCGGATGATTCGGTGATGCGACCTTGAGCCGGGAGCGCACAGCAGTAGGCGAACAGGCCAGCAAAAACCAGCAGCCGTCTCATCATTTTTCCTGTTGCTTTTTTTGGTTGCTGAAAGACGGTGATGATTTTTCTCGACCCTTCAGTGTACGCTTGCTGCAACCATGTCAATCAAGACAACATACCCGGCAGCTCCCAGCCACGCTCTCGTGAAAGTCCGTTTGCCCTCCTCTCCTCTCCTCCCAGGAACAAGAATGCCCAATCGTGGTCATTTTCCATGTGTCAAACTTCTTCATCTGTGTCATCATCTGCACTGGTGCATGCATTGTCATGCCGTGTCACTGTCTCAGTGGGCTTTGGGGGCGCCCTGTCGAGCACCGTCACCACTGCTGTAAAACGTCACCATACCATGACAATTGCGTCAGAGACACGGCCGCTGCAGCGCCTTGTAGGTTGACAGTTTGATAATGCGACAGCTTTCAGTGAAGTTGACGGCAAAGCCGCGCCCGCAAGTCTTATCCCGTCCCACAGCGTCCCCCTGTGCTTGCGCAGATGCAAGCCACGTAGTCAGGCTCGTTCCAGGCTCCAGGCCCTTTACAAGAGCCGAGATACGAGTTTTTTTTGTAAAAATCCATGATGTTGTAACGTTGGCAAGAGAATCTAGACACTACTCGCAAGTATACTGCAAAATAGCCTTCATCGTGTCGACGCAAATCATCGTCGCTTCCACTGCGTGCCCATCTCCTTTCCGATGCACCGCAAGCACCGTACCAGCATGTTCCCATTCTGGAATCTGCTCTTCTTCTTCATCGCGCTCTGCGCCGCCGAACCAGCCCAGTTTTGCAAGTTTGGCCACGCGTCCGGCCAGGTCGACTTTTGCAGCAGCTTCACCGCGCACCGCAACGCGTCGACGCACGCGCACAATGTCTACCTCACATTCACAGCGACACGGGCGCTCGGCTCCGCCAAGGGCTGGACGGCGGTCGGCTTCGGCGAGGAGATGAAGGGCTCGCTCATGGTCATCGTCTACGGGGACCCGGCGTCCGGCCAGCCGCCGATTGTCAGCGTGCGCGCGTCCGAGGGCCACTCGCAGCCGACGCTCGTCACGCGGGACCAGCTCGGGGGCGGCGACCTGCGGGTGCTCCGGTCCGACTGGCGGCTGGACGATGCGGCCGCCGGCACCGTCACGGCCATTGTGTCGCTCGTGTGCTACTCGTGCACGCGCTGGCCGGGCGCGCGCATCTCGGCCGCCGCCACGTCCCAGCCGCTCATCTGGGCGTGGAACGACGCGCAGGAGTTTGACGTCTTCACGTACGATGCCCATCTCCGGATGCACAAGCACCACGCCGGCAACGGCGGCTGGGGCCGCTTCTACGTCAACATGGACCACGCCACCAGCAAGGTGCCCCAGCTGCCTTCGGTGCCCTACATCCGCCACGGCGTCGCGGCCTATGCCGCCTCGGAAGAGCCAGACATCTTGGCCGGTGGCATCGTCGATGCCATGAAGAAGTGGACGATGAACAATCGTGCGCTCCATGTCCACGGAAGTCTGATGGCTGCCGCTTTTCTCTTGTTTATCCCGGGCGGCGTCGTGGCCATGAGATCCGGCAGCCCCAGATCCTTCACGTACCATTGGATTATCCAGCTTACCGCTGCGACCATGATACTGGCTGGAATGGGCGTGGGTATTTCCCTCCAGAAACGAATCAACACGACTCACCAGATTCTGGGCCTGACGATTGTGGGCGTGCTCTTTGTGCAGTCCTACCTGGGATACAAGCACCATGTGGACTTTGTCAAGATCCGTCGCCGCACCTGGATCTCGCACTGCCATATATGGACAGGCCGTAGTGTCATGGTCGCTGCCTCTGGCAATCTCCTCCTCGGTATGACGATGAGGGGCTATCCCCGCGTCATCATGGCCCTGGCCGCCGCCTTTATTGTCCTCGAGTTTTCGGGACTCGCTTTGTTTGTCTGGCGCAGAGCCAAAATTACTGCCCGGAAGCGTGCCGAGTATGAAGAGATGGAGCAAAACGCGCAGACTCATCGTTACTTCACCATTGGTGAGGAGACGGATGACGAGTCGAGTGATGCCGAGGACGAGTCCCAAAAGCTGACCAAGTCAGAAGACTCTTTGGCTTCAAAATAGTGTGGATTTACCAAGTGGATGTTCCATAGCAGCTCTGATTTAGCAATTTTTTTTGTATTGACGTGTCCAATAAGCAAGTTACAATTTCCCTTTGTTCTGCTGCTGCCAGCAAAGTGTATTTTCGGTACCATAGAGTGAACTAGGTTGCCAACTAGTATATCTGCACTGAATTCAAATCCTCCTTACATGATTCAAATTGCCGGTGAGGTAAGAAGGTAAAGTATGATACATGCATTCGAGGCCTTTTGCTGAGGTGATTGCCCCGTGTTCTGGACGAGCTGCGTGATGAGCGACCATGTCTCTGCCACCTGCAGCCATGTTAGCGACATATGCCAAGTAGAGCAGCGAGTTTCTTACCGTGTCCTGTAGCTCTTGCCGGTCCTTTCGCATAAAATCCTGAATATCCTGATCCGAGATGAGGTTCTGGATGCGATGCGCAATATACACCCGACTCGTTTCCGCCGTCGGCTTGGACGAGCCGGCAATCGACAGCATCTTGCTGCTGCTCGTCTCCGTCGCCGCGTGCACCATAGTCGACAGCTCATCTGCGTAAATCTCCTCGGCCGCACGCACAATCTCCTCCCTGTACGCGCTGCGTTCCTGCTCGCCCCATTCGACATGGCTGCGGTGGATGCCGGACAGGAAGCTGCGCAGCCGGCGCGAGCGGCCGACCGCCTGCGCGGGTCGCGCCCCGCCATGCGCCGTGGCGCTCAGGTTGGCTCTGTAGTAGGCCGCCATCATGCTTTCCAGGCTCTCAAAACCGGCGTCCTCGACGAACTCGCGGATGCGCTCCAGGGCACTCTCCTGCTTGGAGGGGGGTCCCGCCGCGGTCACCGGGCGGGACTCGGATCGCGGCCACGAGAAGCTTCCGCTGCCCGTCGTCACCGACGAGCTGCTATTGGTGCTGAAACAGACGGGTGCTGTGCTGTCGAGGTGCATATAGTCGGATGCGGGCATCGGCTGGGGGAGCTTGCATGGCCCGTCGTACCGATGGTTTTGTGCGTGCTGCGTCTGCGGAAGCATGGACAGGAGCCGACTGTATGAATCTTGCGATAATTCTGAAAATGTTAGATTGTTGGCAAGCGCAGACGTGTTGGTGCGTCGCCTACCTCCATCGCCTTTCTGGAGGGTCATTAAGAATTGATGCAGTGGGCTGGACGAAGCGCTTGCTATGGTGGGCGAGTGACCGCTCGCATCGACAGACATTATCTGTCTATCCAAAAGACTTTTTGCGATTTGTTCCGGTCTGTCTCCCACATCTGTGGCTTCGGTTTGTCCTGCGCCAGCGTGTATGCTGACATTAAGAGGAGGAGGGCTGGACAGACATCCATCCACAACCTCGTCTTGCTCCTCTAGCGAGTGATCAAAAAACGTCGTGTCGACTGCGAATTCCCAAGCTTTGTCGGACGCTTGTTGATCTCGATCCTCGGACAAGCTGGACGGCAGCGTGTCGTTTCCGGTGGAATTGGAGATGGAAGCCCGATTCCTTTGTCCTACGAACATTCTCAGTTAGTCTTTCTGGCTTTATGTAGAAATCCAAGGGATACCCTGGGCTGTTGCTTGCTCAATGTGGCCAGCACCAGGCATGGACTTACTTTCACGCCGTCTTCGCTGGGCCAATCTGTTTCGTCGTCGTTGCTCTTCAAGTTTTGCAGAGGCATCCGTAATTTCTGCACTATGCATAATGACATAACGCAATGATCGATTTAATAAATCGGACGGTCGGTGCGTGAGGCAACGGCGTTTTGTTAGTTCCGAGCCAGACCTAAACTGTCATGGTCAATCGATGCTCAAATCTTATTTTCCAAGAAACGCCTAGCCGACCACTGGGCGACCTTGGGGGTGATGATCGAATGGATCCCTTGTGAGTTTCGACAATGGACATTCAACCCCGCAGTGCCCAATTGGAGGCCAGCTGGACCGTGTGTGGTGGCCACGCAGATAGCGTTCCGCCGTGGCCACTTGTCTGAAGCCATCCCAGTCCTGGGCTGATATGCACCTGGGCGCTCTGTAGTGGCCAGTCAAGCGGAAACTGGGGCCAGCATTCGTTCGCCCCAGATTCATCGTCTCGTCTTTACACAACAGGGTACAAAGGGATCGGTGTGGACCACCTTGGCGTCGAGCTTGCGCAGCATCCCAAGATGTTGTGGCGCTCGCACAGACCGAGGCCGCGTTTTCAAGACTTTTATCACAGCCTCTGCGATTGCATTTCCGTACGACGACCTGTGTTTAGTTTGCAAGGTAGGGTTGAGCCCACTTTTATACGGTTAGTTAGTATCTAACATACAGTATTTTTATAAGTATTTTTATATAAAAT